AAAACCCAAAAAACTGCAAAAACCAAACCAAACCAAAAAGAGCAGAAACCTAAAAAAGACCCCCAACCAAATAAGCAAGCAAACAATAAAACCCAACCAACCAAAACCCCAAACCAAGCAAACAATCACCCAACCAAAATCACCAAAAAACAAAACCCCAAAACATTGTGGAGAGGCAGAACTGCCCAAATTCAGCTAGATTTCACACACTGGAGAAATTTACACAGCTCTAATTAGAAATATGTTTTATATAACATTTCAGCCACTCTTGTTTTTAGTAATTTCTGAAAGGTTAAAATACGCCAAAATCAGTGCAGGAGACTTTAGTCAGAAGTGTATTTTGCTGTCACTCTCTCAGCTCATTCAGTAAGCTGAACAGCAGTTTCAGTGTGGATCACACATACTGTTCTGAAATGGGGACCCAAGTGTGCCAGTGTGGATGCAGGCATCCAGCTTTAATATCCAAGACTGACAATGTGGTTTAGAAAGCTCTCCCTGTGTGACAGCTGTCCCAAGGGGATGCAGGGGCATGCTGAGGAGCAGTTGGAGCAGGTGCCTGTCATGCTCCTGCTGCAGCCACAGGCAGTGACTGATGGTCTTGGGAATGCTCTGGGTCGTAATGCTGAGCTCTGCCTTGGGCTCCAGAAACCCAGATGTGCCAAGATACATGCCACCATGGCTGCAAGACCGTGCAGGAGGTCTGCTCATGTTTGCTCCCAACCAAGAATGCTCTTTTAGAAGAAGAGGTGGGGAGGGGAAGACAACTGCCCCTTTACTCGCGCTGTGGTCAATTTGTGATTAAGAAGAGAGGACAGAGCAGAAGAGTCAGGAGACTGTTTGAGACTCTCTGTCTTTGTGTTTTAGGAAGACTGACGTTTTCTGAGGTGCACACAGCAGTCACTGCAAGGGCAGTGCCCTCAGCCTCTCCCACAGCAAAGCTGTCCCCACTCCTGCAGCTCTGTCGTGCAGCTATCGCAAATTCATTCTGCAGGCAAGCTGCCACATCACATTCTTCTCTGGTGGGTGGTCCTCTGAGACAAGCAGAGCCCTGTCTGCATTACCAGTCATGATAACAGACTGTTTACAACATTAGGATTCAATGGTTCAGGGTTTTTTTCCCTTGCTGTAAATTTCTTGTCTAGAGAGAGATTTAAGCTCTGATCCTTGTGAAAGTAAGGCTTTGACTCGATTACTGATGTCATCCACTGAATGAGTAAAACATATTGTTAAAAGCCATCCTGCACTGCACAGTGCTCAATTCCCTTAATCTAGGAGTCTTGCAGACTCACTAACTACATTTCTTTCTGGAGTGGTTTTCTTCTTTGCCTGAGCACGTGCCTAGCAAAATAACTGAAATCAGTGTGAGACAAAGATTTGCTGTTTGCAAATCCCATAACTAAAAATTGGTTTAGCTTCCCTCAAAAAAATAGCGATTTGGGGGAAAAACAAACAGAAAAATAGTCAAAAGTGAAAAAAAAAAAAAAAAACCAACAAACCAACCCACGCTCAACACTATATTGGCCTTGGACATTCAAACCCCTTGGTGAACACTTGCACTGTGGTACCTGAGAGAAGTCTGAAGGTCAAAAAGATCAGATTTTCTCCACTATTGGGGAAATTACTGAAGACCAACTTCAAGGCAACCAAAACCATCAGCACTGTGGCATCACACCAGGCACGTGCATACCAACAGTGTGTGGATAGTTGCTGAAGCAGCTGAAGGAGGACAAGCCTGACCAGATGGAGCTTTTCTTCCAGCTGAAGCTCACAAAGTTTCCCAGCTTTCTGTCACTGACACAGAAAAAGGGATCAAATGCCCCCTCAGTGAGTCTGTGGATTACATCAAGCTGAGTGTCACAGTTGACCCACTTGGGGAAGGGATGACACCCAGTAGGACCTTGACAGGCTTGAAGTGTGGGCAAATGTGAGTCTTAAGAAGTGCAACAAGGCCAAGTGCAAAGTCCTGCACGTGGGCTTGGGCAATATCCCACATGAATACAGACTGAGGCACAAATTAATTGAGAAATGCCCTCTGGAGAACTTGGGGATACTGGAAGATAAAAAAACCATTACGTATGAACTGACAAAGCCAAACATATCCTGGGCTGAACCAAGGGAGGTGTGGCCAGCAGGCTGAGGGAGCTGATTGTGCTCTTCTGCTCTGGTGAGAACAGAGGAGTGCTGCACCTGGAGTGCTGCATCCAGCTCGGGGGTCTCCAGCACAAGTGAGACAGGGACCTGTTGGATTAGGTCCAGAGGAGGCCCACAGTGATAGTCAGAGGGCTTGGAGCACCTCTCATCTGAAAACAGGCTGAGAGGATTGTTCAGACTGGGGAAAAGAAGGATCAAAGGAGACCTGACTGTGTCCTTCCAATATATAAAGCGGCCTTGTAAGAAAGAGGGAGACTTTTCATCATTGTCTGTAGTGACAGGACAAGGGGCGTTGGTTTTAAACTGAAAGAGGATAGATTTAGGTTATATATAAAGAGTATTTTCTTCACTGGGAGGGTGGTGAAGCACTGAAAAGGGTTGCCCAGAGAAGTGGTGGATGTCCCAGACCTGAGAATGTTTAAGGCCAGGCTTCACAGGGACCTGAGCACCCTGGTCTAGTTGAAGGTGTTTCTGCCCATGGCAGGGGTGTTGGGGTAGGTGATCTTTGAAGGTTTCTTCCAAAACAAACCATTCCTTGCAGGCTGGGGCTGAGGAGACATGAACCGTGCTTGTCTTGAGGTCATCCTCCTTCCTCTTGGTGGCTTGGGGCAGGGGTTTCATCTCTCTGCACCCCTTCTTCCCCCTTCCAGTAAACAGGAGTAATGCTGAATCCTTCCCCAAAGAGAATGCAGGCATTTTTATTGTAATTAGCAATGTTTTATCACAAGAGGGGAAATCCCTTGCTATGAGCGCTGTGGGGGAAGCAGAAGGAGTGACCTGTTGGCCTGCTCCTCCACCTTCTCCCCAGACAGACAGTACTGGGAAAAACTCTGACATCTTCCCCCTCTGTTTCCATTTTCCCACCAACCAGGTCCAAGTTTATCAGCAAGAGCAGTTGTTTATTTAGCACCCAGAGAAAACGCACAGCCTACAAAATGAAGCCGTGATCACTTCTCTTCCGAGCTCACACACTGATAGCTGATCTACTCACCAACTTCTCTGAAGAGCCAAAGGAGAAGAAACGTTTTTTTTGGCAGACTTAGGTTAAATTATCATCAGAGAGAGCACCCTGAGGACTGCAAGTCAGCAAGATCCCAGCCTAATACGGTGCAAATAGAATGGGGTGGATAAAAAAGTTGAAGAGACATGCTGCATTTCGTGTTCTACCTGAGGGTGTCTTGACTGAGCATATCCACACGTGGAGAAACAGGCACTTCTACTGATGACAAGCACAAACTCTGCATTACACACTCAGCCCCCCCCCAGTTCAAGGTGTATTTCCCCCAGGGACTTCAGCAGCTTTTGGTTCACGTGCAATATGTACCATAGATTATATTTCGTATTTATTTGCTGCACAGCTGCACAAATATCACACGTAGAAGAATACAGTATACACACCTGAAAACATAGTCTTTATGGAGTGATGAACAAGTCATTTCTATTCCTTGCTTTTGAAACCAGAATAACTGAAATGTCCAGCACGGATGTCTCATTTTCACTTCCAGATGTTTTCTATGTTGGGTGATAATAATCAGTAATAATTTTATTTGTAGTTCTGACATGAAAAAAACAGAAGCATATCAGAGGTTTCACTGAGTTCAGTGGCAGAAACAGTTCATGGCAGCCCATGTGAATAAAGTGATTTTTTTATCACTGTTTTCAGATCTGGGTCAAACCTGATTATGCTGCAAGAAAGACACATATCATTTTATGCATTGCAATTCTTGTTATTTCAGAGATCTCAGCTCAATCCTTAGTTGTTCTTTTGATTTTTACAACAAGAGATATAGGAGGCATATGCAAAAATTGGGACCTAATGATGCTGCATTACAGGATGTTGCCTACTAGCTTCAGTGCAGCAGGAAGGTATTTCTGGAGCCAGTAGGATATATTTTGTGATTTCTCTCCCTTCTGTGTCGTAAAGGTTACAGAGAGTCCTCCTCACACTTGGAAAAAAAAAAAAATCCCAAGTATTTATTAACAAGGTCTTTGCTTTCTTATTGCAGCTTTACAAACACTTTTTGAAATGCAGAAGTTAAATAAGCATGCAAAATGAGAAGATACACTAAAATCACTGATTTTTAACAAAAAGAAATGCGTCTGATTAAGTAGCATAGAATAGCCTAATGTACTCTATTTTAGAATAGAAAGTTGGAAAGGATTACAATGATCATCTAGTTTAGCTGCCTGACCACTTCAGGGCTGACCAGAAGTTAAAGCCTATTAGGAAGGGCATTGTCCAGATGCTTCTTTTTAAAGCACTGAGGGGCACAGGGCATCAACCACCTCCAGGAGGTCTGTGCCAGTGCCTGACCATCTGAAATGCTGCCTAATGTCCAGACCAGAGAGACAAGATCAGCATCTCCCTCTCCACATGCCCTGGGGGATGTGCAGAGCACTGGGGTCACCCCTCAGCCCCTTCTCTCCAGAGCAGACCAGCCCAGGGTGCTCAGCTGCTCCTCACAGGAATTGCCTCCCAGCCCTTCCCAGGGGCTGTTCCCTCCTGGGAACCATCCCAGGGCTTCTCATCCTGCTCAGAGTGTGGGGCCAGCCCTGCCCGAGGGCTCGGGGTGAGGCCACAGCAGTGCTGGGCACAGGGGATGATCCCTCTCTTGGTGCTGGTGGGGCCGTGTCTGATCCCCCAGGATGGGGTTTGCCCTCCTGGCTGCCCGGGCACCCCCTGACCCACCCTGAGCTGCTGCCACAGCACCCCACACCCCTCTGGGGCTGCTCCCACCCTCTGCTCTCCCAGCCTGTGCCTCTGTCCAGCAGCAGCTCCATCCCAGGGGCAGGACCCAGCTCTGTCCTCATTACATTTCGTGCCACTGATAATTGCCCCGTGCTCCAACCTATCCAGGTCCCTCTGCAAGGTTCTTGTCCCTCAGCAGAGTCCCCAGCACCTTCCCTTCATCCACAAGGCAAGTGATCTCGTTGTAGAAGGATATAAAATTACCGAGGGAGGACTTTCCCTTCACAAACTCACACTGACTGTGCCTGGTGATTGCACTGCCCTTGAAATGCTGTTTAACAGCACCCGGGATGGTTTCAAAGGTTTGCCCTCTGGATTCATGCAGGAGCGCAGAATTACTGTGTATCATTTCCTATGCTCCTGCCTCCTCCATCTCATATCAGATATTGCAGAGCCGTTCACAGGCTTTGGATAGAAATACCTTTTTTTTTTTTTTTTTCCACTGCAGATCTCCAAAGGTCCGGTGTGCACTTTACATTCTGACAGCCTTCTTTTTTATTTCTTGCAAATTTCCCTGACTTTTCCAAAGAAACAAAACACTCACTGAAAGCATGAAACTACACTGTGAAAAAGCTGGAAATAAAGCAAATTACTGTTGTATTAATGAACATAAATAAGCATAAATATTTGTGGCCTCCAAGCTTTTGTTAAAATAGCAGTATAAATTTCTTAGAGCCTATCTATGGCCCTCAGAAGTCACTGGAAGAGATCTAGCAAATTTTATGCTCTTTGAAAAGGGACAGGAATTCATTTCCATAATGGGTTCACTGGATCAAATCACACCACTTGATAGGTGACTTAGATGGAGCTGTTGCTCAAACTCATTTGATTCACACACAGAAAGCAGCAAATGCAGAAAGTTTTACTTTAATCTTTCAGTACGTACATTTCTCTTAGAGCAAAATGTTAATTCCTCTCAGTTTTCATCAAATCTGTTCCCTTCCCTGTACTTTTATTTAATGCTCATCATTGACAGCTGCCATGTACAACTATTGATGGTACTGTGTCAGTGCGGTATCAGAAGGAAATGATGTCCTTCCTTTTCCCCACTAATATGAAGACAGGCAGCTAGAGAAAGGATAAAGACTAACCAGGTATCAAACTGAACTCAGCTCAAGACACATAAGCAGAGAAAACCATACTGTGCTCTTAGAGCTGTGCTTTACTTGGGTATTCCTCTCTTCAAATTTTACCGGTGCCACATCAGCCTTAGTAACACGTTCTCTCTTTCTCATCAAATCAAATTCAATTACCAGAATTTCATGGGCTAAACATCCAAAAATCTCCAAAGGTGGCATACTCCAGGAATTCACCAACAAACTCCTCTGCTGTCTCTGTAATAAGGTCTGGGTTTTGGTACATTTCCATTGCGGTAGAGACACCAAAAGGAGTCATTACCTAAAAGAAGAAATCTTGGTAACAGTGTAATGCCGTCTCACACTCACATAAGGCCGTTCACTCTGTGCAATCCCACAGCATCTGGTAAATTGTAACAGCCCCAAGGGGTGGTACTGTGGTGGAATAAGGAAAAAAGCTGCATAGAGGGAGGAGAGAGAGCTTTGACAGGGTCACCCAGCAGCACACTCAGAACAGCTGCATGATATAGCTTTTAGCACCACAAATATCCTTGAAGAACTTGCTAAAATGGAGCCTAATACGGCAAGATACTGCATCTCCTATATGATAACTCCCTTTCCCTTATACTCTGCTTGTATAGTGCTTTGGAGAAAGTGCTTATAAAAGCCTCGAATATAACAAATCAAACCAAACCGTCTGAATAGGAAACTAAATCCTGTCACATAGGCTCACAAATAAGTGTGAACGTGTCCTTAGCAAAAATGGCCAAGCATCATACAGCCTAAGGCACAGTGCAGTGGTGGAAAACACAGAAACCAAGGTTTCAGGACATGCTTTCTGCTGGTGCACAGGAGCAACAGCCAAGGCTGATTCTTTTCCTGCACTGGAAAAGATGGAACCTGGCATTGGCCTGAGACAGGCACACAGCAAATATTACTGCAGACTGCACTGAAAGCACATTTGTGAGAAGGTAGAGATATACACGCCCAAGTCCCACGTTCTCCAGCTGTTGTTTCACGTGGCTCTCTTCTCTGGATGACACCACGCCAGTGAGACACTTGCACTGCTGTTTCTCTTGCAATAAAAAGGGGAGCAAAATAAAACTCATGCCTTCAGTGTTCACCTGGTAGCATAGGCTGCAAATAAGATTTTCAAAGTCAAGTATTTCTGAATTAGAGGGGATTTTAGCTTCAGTTTTTTAGGCTTATCGTTCAAATTTTCTCCACACCATGAAGAGTCCACATTTACTAACTTTGCATTGATGTTGGGTTTCTTTTAAGACTGGTTTTAGGAGTTGGATCTCTGAGAAACAGTCAGAAACTTGACAATATTGGATCACTTCTCTGCAATTAAAAAGCCAAAAGTCCTACTAAGGAGAAAAAATGACCGTGTTTCAAAATCATCATTTGACAGTCTTGACATTTTAACACCAACCCTGTCATGGTATTGCATAATACATTAGTATGCTGATAAGTAAAATAGTCTCCTTTCAGGGGGTAAGAAAAACAAAAAAAAAAAGGCATTTAAAAAACCCAAACTGAGTAACCAAACAAACCCAAAAGAAAACCCCAAAGGTAAAAGGTAACAAAGAATGAAAAATGACAACATGAAGCAAGCAATGTACCATATCACTTTTGAAATAATGTTAAGTAAACTTTTTTTAAGAAATTGAAACTGTCTGGTTTGAATACAGTTCAGTTTTTGACTCTTGAGAAACTTATTTTACAAAGAGAAAAAGGAAACAGAAGACTAGACTTTCTTACCAAGAATAACATGTTTGGTGGTTTTTTTTTTTTTTTTTTTTTTTTTTTTTTTTTTTTTTTTTTTTTTTTTTTTTTTTTTTTTTTTTTTTTTTTTTTTTTTTTTTTTTTTTTTTTTTTTTTTTTTTTTTTTTTTTTTTTTTTTTTTTTTTTTTTCCATCTAAACTTCAGGTATGTTCGAGCAACTACTGTTAGAATTTGTCATTCGAAGCAAACCTGAGCTGAGCAAGTTGCTTCTGGGGTTTCACTCAGAATCATTCATTCCTCATTTTTATAAGTTCTGGAATTTAAATTCAGAGCAAAAATTTAAACCAAAATCTATGAAGTCAGGCAACTCACCCACCTACCAGAAATTGTTTTCTTGGTTCCATAAGCAAAACTCAGCACTTTTGTGCATTTACAGTTTTAAGTAAACCAGCTAAGTGAGCCAGTAAACACCATCACTTTCCAGAATGAGGACAGATGGCGAGCGCTGGTGTAATACTATTTAATCAAAGGCAAAACTACCCCAGTTATCTGGCGTGCTCTCAGATGGATTTCACTTACGTAGCTTCACTGATTCTTAGTTCTCAGCCACTTCCAATGTACACAACTTTACTATTTCAGTGGAGCAACACTATTTTGTGCCCTGAAAACCTGACCTTGTCACCCTGATACAAGGTTATGGTAAACACTTGATGGGGATTTCTTCGTAAAACAATGGGAAAGACTTACCTTAGAAGCAGAGTATATCGTATGGAATGGACAAGAGAAAGTACCCAGACCAGAGGACAGATTCAGAATTAGACCTTTCTGCCTGGAATTTAAACAGTTTCATTCAGTTTACATTTGACACTATTACAGTAAAAAAGTGCATAAGTGGAGAACATTTTTTTTTTCCCTGCAGAAGACATAGTTCTCCTATTATACTGCAGATTACACTTTCAAAAGACCTCCTTTTTACTGTTTAGTTTGGCCTAAACCAGATAGGAGTAATGTCAACAGAAGAGAAATCTAAAAGCCTATTGCAATCAGAACCGTGGGGATGTTGTACATGCTATTGCACATCTAACACAGGAGAAGAACTGCCATCAGAGGAAAGATTTTATGCTCCTCAGTAACTGGCTGATGCCCTTTGTTCATCAGCCAGCACATTCCTTTTCCTGCTCCGTGCATTTGTTGTTTTACCTTCCCCGTTCACAACTCCCCGCACAAATCACTTAAACCCAACTCATTTAGCAACGATCAGGAAAACAAAACAAAACAAAACAATTAAACAGCGAGAGGTAATTTTGTTGCCAAAATCCAAAGCATGCGCTGGCCTCTGAAATGCAGCAGTTAACCACGTTTTCTAGAAAATCCATCTGAAGACCCTAACTTCTGTTTTAAGGACCCCATGTATAAAACATTGCATTAAAAGGAGAAAAGGGATCCTTAACTGCATATCTGAATTGATCTCTCTGGTTGGTGGGACAGCTGTCACTCTTAAAAGAATATGGCAATATATTCAAATGACATTTCTTGCCTAATTAGACCCACCACATACCATTTTATTTCTCCAACACACTTAGTTGCTTTTACCTGGACACAGACCTATATTTTACATTTTTCTGTCTTGTTCTACAATTTACTGACAATTTGTGGGAGTTCCTGTCATTCACTCCTACAACACTAACAGCAGTAGAAGAAATCTTACTGACTGACAGACTGTAAAGTGCAGAAGTTGATAATGGAAAAGAATAACACCCCTGAACACACAGAAGGCAGCAGCTAAAAGCTATTCAAAGTTGTACAAAAAATAATTTTTACCTTGGTTCCACCTGTTGCAAAGTTATTTTTGTCACCTGTAAGACAAGTATTTTAGGAATTATATGCATTCTCCTTCTTTCTGATAGCAGGTTTCAATTGATTCTGTTTTATTCACAGGATCATGCACTTGGCCAAGCCCCAGTTATATGTGCACAACTCAAAAAGCTAAAATATGGCACATTCAAAACTTTGGAAGACAGTTTAGAAATGCTAACGGCCTGCAAATCATCTGAATTGCCAAAAAATTCCGAAGGTTAGTCTTCTAACCAGTGGAATTCTTCTGTTTATTCAAAGCTTTTCAAGAGTTTCTGAATTTCATCACTCTCCAGTAACTGTAAGGAAAAAGTCAGTTCCATGTCCTTTTTTACATTTTTACTTCAGGCTCTACCTGGATCAGAAACAGCAGAAAATCATGAAAAGAGAGTATTTTTTCTGCTACCGAAAAGAGCTTTAGGTTCTTTTTAAATACTAATTATTTAATCATCCAATCTTATAGTATTTTTTTAACAACAGACCTAATCAGGTATCTGATTTTTACAGTGCAATTAAATCCATTTTTTTAGGTAAGAAATCTGTTCCTGCTTGTGTACTTGAAAAGAAATATTCACAGTAAGCCTAAGTCCCATGGGGAAGTCATACTATGAGTCTTCTCAGAATAAGAGTGTGATATAACTTTTAAAGACCAGTAATGAAAAACAGTGCAAATTAATGGTGCAGTTTAACTGAATTAGTTTATTATTTTAATAATTTATTATTTTTATGGTGTCATTGTGCTATCACGGGATAGTAGGAGCAGTGTGGGATTCACACAGGAGGCTGGCCACATCAGCTTGGGTGAAGGGGACTTTCCAAGTAAAGTGGAAAATGTGGGAAAAGGTCCTTCTTTTGCTGACAATCCCACTGACATCTGTGGGAGCCAGGATACCTGGAGCTCAGGCATTACATTGCAAGAAGTGGTGAACAGGATCCTAGCAGGAATCCAGGTAGGGAGGGGAAAAGAAGACCAAAAAAAAAAAAAGATTTAAAGATTATTTGGACCAAACCATGAGGAGTGCTGGTTAAGAGAATGCTTTCTTCTTTGTCATCTGGAAGAAGGGGAATTGTTTGTGAAAATCCCAGGGGGAGGAAGTTCACCAAACTTTGCTTCGACTGGTATTACATAATTTGCTATCTGAAGTCATTAAGCAGCATTACAAAATTTGGGATATAAATTTTGCCGGCCAAGGAAAGACAAACATGTGTTGTTAATTTTCACGTCACGCTTAGAAAGACATGAAAGGCGTGAAAGCCAAGGTTGAGATGAACTACAAAGCTCTTCTGCTGCTCACGCTCATGCTAACACGCTGCCTGCAAACAGCAGAGCAACACAGATCCTGATCAGCTGGAAAGCACGAAATACCAAATGCTCTTGTAAAGGAAGAAGCCAATCAAAATATGCTTCTTTAGGCCCAGTTCTTTTCCACCTCCACTGAATAGTTAATACACACTGATTGTAGCAGGGGCAGAATCTGTCTCTTGTTCAGTGGAATTACAACTCCTCATTGCTACACTGGAAATACAAGTCCACAGAATAATCCTGCTTCATCAGTGTCTGGTCCATTAAAGAAACTGCATGAAAGAGAGGACTATGAAGCATTTCAACGCTGTTAACTGGTCAAAGAAAATATAATGGCAAGAAGCAAGCCTAGACAAAGTCCACAGTTCATCTGGTGAAACAAATGGCTTCTCCTCAAGACCCAGAAGATTTTGAGCTGCATGTGAGGAGAAATGCTCTTCAGCATCAGGTCTTGTTCTCACTGAAGTCACCAACACTGATCAGTGCTGACTACAGGAAGCAGAAATACAGACTAATGCTGATTATGTCAACCACAGGCTCATTTCAGACCGAATATAAGAACTGCCTAGAGCTGTGAAACAACCAACAGAGACAATTAATTCCTTGAGGCCAAATGAAAAAGAAGCCACCCCACAAGCTGGATGCTGCCTGTAAAGCGGCAGAAGAGGTGTCACAGGAAAGAACCCACCGTACACAGAAGCAAGAGGACTTTGGAGAATCCTAATTCACTTTTAAAACTCGTTCATGATAAGTAACGCTCAAATGCATGAGGCAGCTTTGGCTAATTTGTTACGACAGATCATTTATATAAGGTTTTGTTTAATACACTACAGCCATAAAATACTCTTCAGTTAACAGACCTGAATGACTCACTCAGAACACCAATATCCAACCCTTTCAGATTGTTTTCAGTGTTCTTGTACACTGAATTTTTAGTGAAATCACCTTGTATAACCTTCACCTTTTGACCTGTGGCCTGCTCTGTAATTAAAAACAAACAAACAGAAAAAAACCAACCGACCAAAAATACAACCAAACCCCCAAAATAAAACAAAAAAACCCCAAACAAAACCTCAAAAAACACCAGCCTTTTTGCATCTACCCAGAAAGGGGGAGAGCTGTAATTAAGTAATGATTACAATCAATGTTGAGAAACAAGTAGGTGTCTCATTCAATAATGTCCACTGTACAAGCTATTGTTGCAACTTTCTTCCATTAAGAAATAATACAGCACAAGCATAACACTCTCATTCTACCCCATTTTTTTTCAAGGAAAAGGCCTGGCAAACACAGGATGAAATAATCCCCAAAATCAGTGGAGTTTTTCTTCTAAATTCTAAACAAGATTTGGTCCTTCAGTGAGACAAAACAAAACAAATGCAGAAATAAACCACACAGGACTTATTCTCCTGGTTATCACAATATTTACAGATGAACACTGTCAGCATAGGTTAGCCAAATGAACGTGGGTGCCAGATCCTCTACATAAGCACAGTTTTGCAGAATGGTTTAGAAGCATTTTCATGGTTCAGATGAGCACTTTAGCAAGTGGAACTTTTTTTTTTTTTTTACACAGGAGGAGGGGGGAACAAGGATAGATGTGATACAGTATTTCCTGCATCATTTTCAAACAATCCTTTGCCTGTTTTGACATTTTTGCCATCCCACAGACTGAACCTTACCCAGGACTTTGCAGTACTAAAAGGCATTTCAGGGAGGGTACAGCTTAAATTTTACAAGGTCAATTTACACAGAAGGAAAAGGGAAATGTGTGTGATTTTTCCAGTGTCATTGCTATGCAGGAGTGGAGCCCAGCTGTACATTACCATTTTTCTCAGCAGTGGATTTATTGCTGTTCATATTTTCAATGAAGTTTCATGAGGAAGTTTCATAGAAGCTCTTATTTACTCAGTTCTAAAGGCAAGGCTCTCCTTTAAAGGGGCCCACTAAGGCCTCTTCTAACTAGATGTTCACATTGTAAATTCTTGCTACTAGAGCCGCTTTCAAGTTTTATGGGCAACCTGAAATCCAGATGAAGTTTGCTGAAAAAGTGACAGGCGAGGCTTGGAAATGTCAATAGAATATCGGATTGCAGGCTCCCTGCAAGTGGCAGGAATTCAGGTGCACACAGATGGCAGAGAGTACGCTTTGGGGAAACCCTCTCTGCTTGTCTGGAGCCTGATTTTGTCGTACAGTAGGACAGAGCACTGCCTTGAATAGGAATCAGAGTCACTTCAGACTCCTACCCTGAAGTTTTGCCTCATCCCTCGATGTGCTTTCAGTAGGAAGAAGCCTTGCACCAGCTGCTGCAGGAGAGCAAGGCTGGCAGAAAGCTGGCTTTGGGTCCAGCTTTGGGCCAATCTGCAGCAAAACAGAGCCTTTGTTGGAGGGTGAGATAAAGCTGTTCCCTCCCAGTTTCTCCTCTTTGCCCCTGCACAAACTGCAGGTCTCTACCACCTCACAGCACTCAAGTAATGCAGCTGGACCGAAAAGGAGGCACTCTGACTGCAGATCTGAAATGTGGGTTGCACCTTGTGTGCGGTTTTAGAGGACATCTGTCTCCGTGACAGAAGAAAGGAGGAAGGAGTGCCCTTTCTCTCGCTGCCTTTCCAAGCTGCAGTTCTCTGCATGAAAGGGACAAAAACACCCTTTGAACCTCCAACCTATAAAAGCAACTCTAGTGGCAAATGACCCCGTCATGGTCCCAGGCTGGGCGAGTGGTGAAACTATAAATAAAAGGACATTGTGAGTGTAAATGCAGCGAGTGGGAAAGAACAGAGCAACAGCTGGAGCAGACACCTACAGTGACCTTCTGATTGAGGAACTCTATAAACAAAGTGAGACGGTCTTAAAAAGTGTGGTGATGTTATGGCCATCTTTCTTACGGGCAGTCAGTCAGGTGGGCAGCCAAAACCAGAGCAACATAAAAATGAGGATCAAACAAAAGCTCAGAGTTGGATTTTCCTTGCAGAAGGGCTTTGTAACAGAGCTGTGCTGCTGCAACCAGCCAGTACAGCCAACAAACAAGGACTCCAGATGGCTCTCCTCTGCCTCCTTTAAGAATAAACCAATATACTAAAAACCAGCAAAACTCTCATGCTGACAAATGAATTATCCAGGGATAGCTCTTCAGAAAATTGTAGCAATTCTGCAAAAGAGAGAGAGACAAAAACCAATATCCAGTATTCTTATGTCTCTCCCTCTCTGTGACAAAGATTTATGGCAGCCTTTGAGGATGAAGAAAGGATGTGCAGAGTGAGTTGTTGTATGCCAGCCAGTGACTCACTGTTGCCTGCTCAGCTCTCGGGGCAGGACAGACAAGGGGCAGAGGACACAGCACAGCAGATTGCAAACTCAGCCAAGAGCAGGCAGGACAGCTAAATGAACCAGCCCCTTCACAGGGCTTAGTGAGAGCAAGGCACATTTTGTATTCTTGACTGGTTTTTTATTCACTGCTTTATTCTATGTTAGCAGGCGTAATTTCTGTGTATTTCCTGCATCACCAAATCCAAATTAATTAACTGCATGTTCAGCTGGTCTAAACTGATATAGCTGTATTTTAACTGAGGATCACATAGCTTATTTTCCCTTAAATTAAGATTTATTTTTACCAAAAAAACCACCCCAAAACCCTATCAAAAAGAAAGAAAGAATCCCCCACAAACCAACCCCAAAACAAACAAAAAAAACCCCAACCAAACAAATCCATACCAAACCCCACAAAACCCAACCACATTTTTTGTGTGAAGAATTTTATATCTTACAGAAGTAGCTTTTTTTTGTTTATTTGGCATTAACAACCAAATGGTACAGATCCTGGTCATAGAAATTTGTCTTCAGGCATAACTCTACAAAACCAGGACCTAACTCTGCCTGTACAGCTTCCTTAAGAAATACAGGCAGAAGAAATAAAAAAAGGAGTAAAGCCTGAGCTGGACTTTGGAATCTGTGGAACATTTCCAAAATGTTAGCATAGGCCCACAACCAGGGCTCCCTGCTGCTTTTAGTGCCTCCACATCAGATAACTCTGAGCTTTTCATTGCTGTATTTTTCTCTCTCCTTTTCTTTGTGTCATCTTATTTGTTGCACTGCGCCCATTTCCAACCTGGCACAATGAATAACAGATGACTCGAAAACTCTTTAGCCTTTTTTTTCTCCAGGTTTCTAGTATTATAACTCTCCAACATTTAGCTGCAAAGAAACACAACAATGGCACCAGAGCTCACCTGCTTTCCACAGAAATTATTTTTTATGGCTGTTCACTTAAGAGGGACTAGTGCAGACAATAGCCACTCTGGTGTCACAGTTACAGCTTCTTACAGAGATTAAGTCAGGGGGTTTTTGCTTTCCTCCTCAGAGACTCTTGCTTTCCAAGGCAAAAAAAATCTATCCCTCCCCAAACAACAACAACAACACAACAACAACAACCAAACAAAACAAAACAACAACAAAAACAAACAAACAAAACACCCAAACCAAACAAAAAAACAAACAAACAAAACAAAATTTTAAGAAAAGAAGCATAATAATTAGAAAATTTTGGAGTCCAGTGCTTGATTTTGGCAGCTGTAAGTTCAAAGGTTGGAGGCTTTTGCACCCACTTCCAGCCTGGCACATCCCTGACAGGTGCTCTGGTCTCTCTCAGGTGAGCATCCTGGGTTGATGCTCCGTTGGATTTACCTGCTGAGCCTCCTTAAAGGCAAGCCTTTACAACAGAGATGCAGTTTTGGGGTGGCACATACTTTAAACAAGTGAATCAAGTAAGCTGGTGGATAGAAGCCATGCATAGAAAGAGAGACAGCGTAAAAAATTATCTTCATTATAGCAGTCTGTAAGGTTAATGTAGGATAAAACTCATTTGACTCCTAAATATATTCTGTCAACCTTGGTGTATTTCCACAAGCTATTCCCCAGAGTAAATGACTAATTTCCTTTGAAGGAAAGAAAGGGAACATGAATTCTAAAGAAACACCGCATAACTGTTTCATCAAGAGCCAAATGTAATTTGAAAACCTAAACAAACAAGCAAACAAACCAACCAGGTACTTTGATTTTCAGTTTTAGTCCTCCTATGCTGTGCTCCAAGAACTAGTTTAAAGGTAACCTTATTTTCCTAAGCATAAACAGTTTGATAGATCCCTCTGATGGATCTCGTATTACACATCCTTTGCCAGTATTTACAGGTCTTAAGGGCAGATAAATGCAATAAAAACCACATATTCTTTTTTTTTTTTTTTTTTTTTAATCAAACCCATTATGCTCTTTGAAAGACAGGATATATTTTTTAAGAGGTCCATGTCTAGAAGGGTTCAAGTGACACAGTAACACAAAAGCCCTGTTTGTAGAATTGGAGCAGTAGCTGGGGGTGGAGCTGTGGCAGGTGCTGCACCAAAGGAAGACACCTGCAGGTCCCTGCAAAGTCATCTTGCTGAAATGGGAGGATAAAGCTGAGACAAATACCTACCAGCTTCAGAGGCTGCTCTCTGCAGTGAGCTCTTCTTACCATCACTGCATTTAATCCAGGTCTTGCCAGCTACAAGAGAGGAATATGACAGCTGTTAGGAAACGGTAAGGTGACAAGAATCTTTCAATTTTTTATAGTTTTGCAAAAAAGGCAATAATAGATTTTTTTTTTTAAATTGTTTTCATTCACCTGTCACCTGCCTGGTGGGTAAACAACAGGTATTAAAGCCAGGCCAAACAATAATCAGCCTTATGGCAGACTTCCAAAACATTTCCTTCACTGTACAATCTTGGACCTTTACAAGAAAAATAGACTGACAAGAATCAAATCCCAATAATATGAACAAAAATAAAAAATAAATAACCAGAGCCAACTTCAAATGACTGAAAGTTTTCAAGGACTGAAAACTATGTGATATTTCCCAGAAACATATCTTTGATTTTGTTTGGGTCTGTGAGCCCAGATATGTTGATGGTTCCCCAGTCATTTTACAACTTCACCTTCCACCGTAACATTTTTTTATCCTGGGGAAGTAGACTAAGCAAATTAAATTGAAGGCCCAACAGATTGAAAGGATATGCATTTTATTAATTTTTTTTAATAGAAATAAAATCTGATGCAGGGCAGATGGATACATTTTAATTTTCTTTTGTTGTTGTTGTTTTGGGTTTTTTTTGTTTGTTTGTGGTTTTTTTTGTTTTGTCTTGTTTGGTTTGGGTTTTTACCCCCTTATTTTCTTAATTAGATGCAAACTGAGAAGGAAAGAAAAAAAAGAGAAATCAAATAAAGGAAAAAAGGCGAAGTCCATGCACAGATACTGAAAATAGAGTCACATAAATGTGCATCCACAAAGATGTTGGCAGTAGCTGGAATTTTATAGCTGCAAACACTATTTAATATAACAATCCATCTATAGTCATTTTGGTATTACCATGTGCAGGCCAACTGCAGAACAAGTAGAGAGTGATACTCCCACATTTTTCTGAGGTCTCCCATTCCTTCCAACTGGAGAGTTTTAGGCAAGGTCAGAGAAAGAAAAAAAATAACTCACATTTTGAAGCTGAGTTATTAACAAGTAGAGGCTGAGCTGAGTTGTCTGGATAAAGACAAAACTAACAGCAGAAAAACGCCCATGAGAGCAAGAAGAGAGATAAACTGGTCATCACAAAACATAAAATTAATGTCATCTGAAAGTACCGGATTTGCTTGGAAGAAGAAACTCACTGGTGAGGGACATGCTGGAGATCCATTCATTTCCACAGCTGACTCCCTGCAACACTCCCTCCTTAAACCTGTGTGAGGGAACACCTTGTCCTGTTGGGCTCTCCTAAAACAATGCAGAGAATGTGAAGGAAATAAGGACCTTTGTTCAAAAACGTGCTCCATCAACAGCACCAGGGAACAGCTGCCCGTTAAATGCCTCGGCCACAACCATTTGCATTTTCAGCCATGCTCACCATCCTGTGCTTTTGGAAACCCTCTGACAGAACTGATCAGTGCTCCAAAGACACCCGCACAGACTTGGATGTTTTGGGAATTCCAGAAGTCTGCTTTAAGCACCCCACTTGAAGTTCTCAGGAGGAGAGTTCTAATTGTCTACACATCGGCAGATCTCCCTTTGCCTCCAAAGAGTTTTACTCAAGCCATTAACAGTCTGAGCCGTGGCCTCTGTTTCTGTGTTCACTTGCTCCTTTCTATCATTTTGTGGGTGTTTGGGCAGGGACTGTTTCCATTTTTGCACCTTCAGACCCAAGACCAAATATCAGCCACGTCATACACACAATTATATTATGTATACCCACACACAGCACCGGCTCCCAGCACTCTGTAGGGTGAAGCTGCTTCTGTTTGGAAACCCTGACTCCCAGTGGCAAAGGACTGAAATGCTCCCGAGACCCAGCCTGCCAAAATGTAAGATCGTTGCTACTGAGTCCAGCCCTAACGAATTATGACAGGCCAGCATTTAGAAACGGGGATAATAATGAAGACACTTCCAAGCAGGAACAGCACTCTGGAATCTCACAAATGCATGGTTAAAAAGTTTAAACCCAAATTAAATGAGTATTAAGCCATTCTGCACTTTCTAGCACGTTTTTGCAGCTCAGTCTGAGTTGAATTTTTTAAACAATAAAGCTTTTGTGAAAGGCAAGATAAAGGTTTTATGTTCAAATCATGGATGCAACTGCTACATTTACCCTGACAAACTCTTTATATTCCACATGGATCAGTAGAGGTAATAGTTCAAATTCCCCTTATGGAATCTCTAGCTGCCTACCATAATTTTCCACCTTCTCTCTTCTCCAGGGCTGTGCTGATAAGGCCTCAGTGTTTCACCCTTTGTCTTTCCCTACCTGGAGTTCAGACCTGTAGGGTCTCTGATTGAAGGACCCACTCATTCAAAGCTATGATCCAAATCTTTCAGCCCTTTTTTGGTCCAGCACACCAGGACTGTGATGACAGGACACAAGGATTTTGCAGTCTTTCTCCTAGCTGTTCATCTGTACAATGCAATTAGAACAGCAGGATTTTCAGGAATAAATCCAAGATGAAGTGGAGAAAACAGAATACTTTTACAACTGGACCAGGAAAGCTCAGATTATATTTATTACTTGTATTATGCTGCTAGTAATACTACACACAGTTTCAGGGAAAAAAAAACAAACAAACATGAGTTTAAGATTTGAGTAGCTATTATATTAACAAATTAATGCAATGCCTCTCTAAAAATGTTCTGCTAAAACGTGGATTAAATACAAGCACCAGCCTGACTTCTAAGAAGTGACGAACTATTAAAAATAACAAAATAGCTACCATGTGAGCCACCAACCTGCTGTTTATGTCCTGACATCAGTGAGAAGTGTGCAGAGCCCAAACCATGAATCTCAGAGCACAGTGTGGCCTTGCCCATATACCCAGCGTGTTTGAGGTGCTGTGCCAGAGCAGGTGCTAAAGCACATCTGTAGCTGTTCTATCAGAAAAGCAGAACAAACAAGGCTACATCAGCACCTGAAATGCTGCTAACACTTCAGCAGAAATGTGACATCCTAGCAGCTGAGTTTAAACCCCACCAACCCAAAAACTCACGGGCCAAGGGTAACGGAAACCTGGCTTTTCAAACAAGGATAGCAAAATAGACCCCAAATCCCAGTACTCTGACACCACATTAGTCAGTTAACAGGTCGGGGTCGTTATCCTGAAGACAACCAGTCCTTTAAAATGACCCTGGTCTACTTGAACACAGACAGAGTCTTCAGGGAAGCCTGGATATTCAGGCTGTCTGAGCTCAGGATGCCAGAAATTCATCACCTGATGCCAGAGCCCAAGCTCTAGAAGAACAGAAGGCTCTGCCCATCAAACAAGACTCACCTCCACATCAGCACACAACACCAGAGGAACCCACAACCAGAAGGACATCAGAGAATTTTGTACCCTGACATCAGAGCAGCAAGACAGCAGCGCTGAGCCAGGAACTCTGGAGGCACACAGACACTAAAACAGCAGGGTCAGGTTTATTTATCCACAAGCCGCTCACAAGTGTGTGCTCCGACCTCAGCCAGCAAGATGTGCCAAGTATGAGCTCATGTGGTGTGAGCTTGGGATCTGCCCCACAGAGCAGTAGCTGAGCACAGCTTCCATCAAAGGCACCACCTGGGGAGGACAGTACCTCTCAGCATGGATAAAGATGGGCTCTCAGTCATCCCACAAATGCCAAAAATAATGAACAAATGGTCCACAAAATCTAGCCAGCTCCAGAGAAGTTTTTTTTTAAAAAAAAATAGTGGTTGTTTTACCCTTTCTCATGGTATAAAGCAGCCGTTCACATGGTATAGCTGGCCTTTCAAATGGGATTTACTCTTGCACAACCCATATAGCACAAAGGAAGCAGAACAGTGACAGAGGCTCTGATCCAGACATTCACAGGTTCTTGCACGCTTCACAGGGATAAAATATCACCAGGTGCTCACGCACAAAATCATTTCAGCAAGCTGCACGTACAGGGGACTACACCCAGAGGCATGATATTAAATCAGTGTTTAAGTACTTCTGATGATTCTTCTCCCTGCATCGACCCCATCCAGCTCCCCCTGGATGAACATATCCATCAGATCTGTCCCACTTGCTCACCACTACAGCAACTCAGTGAGTAGACAGGAGGCAGCATTTCCCCTTCTCTCCCATGGGAGAGCTTGTGGTCTTTGTCACAACTGTGCCAAACGTTAAGCTCTAATATCTGTCACTTGTCTTGTGCTTCCTACATTCCATATTCCTCCAAAAGAAGTTACTGCATTGCCACTCCCAGTAGTGGAAATCACGAGGCATGTGTTTAAACAAATGCACACCTTTGAAAAGACCAGTGCAAAAATCCCATAAACGAAAAGCCAACTCCTTTTCCTTTCCTGTGAGATACGTTTTCTAACCCGTGAGCAGAAGGCACCACATCTGAACCCCCGCACATCACAGGTTGCTGACTGTTACCCAGCCACCTCAGCTCCGCAGACAGCAACTCATTTGTTCTGCAACTCATCTGCAGCTCACGCTTCTTTGCTGTTCAGCTTCTAGAAGGAGAGATGGTTTAGAATGAAGACACCAAATAAAAAAAATCTGCCAGTCAGGCTGGAACCAGACAGGGCAAGGCCACCCTGCCCTCAGTGCTGAACAGCACAGGAGCACAGGAAGGTGCTGCTGCAGCGACTCTGCACAGCTGCAGGGACAGCACAGATATCCCCTTCCTCCTGCAGCCTCCTGGAGCTACTGATCCTAAATTAAACCATTCCTTATAATTTTCATAGTTTGTAGTTTATAGTGGCTTACACAGGCTTCTCCCTTATTGGCTACTTCACACATAACTTTGAAAATGTGTTTGCAAGCTAGAGAATCAAATTAAATGTGTTAACGCTGGGCCAGCCTACTGAAGGTGAAAAAAGCAGATTAACTATGAAACTGGGGGAAAAAATGGACAATTTAGGAGACTTCCTACTCTGGACAGACATTCAGGGACTATTCATTCTAGTTCCCCGGTTTGACAAGACCACTGAGGCCTGAATGACTTTTCTCTGAAATGCAGCATGAGTTTCCTTTCAGAATTTCATTACTACTACTCTGCTCATACAGGGGAGAAGGATTAGCACCATGTTTGTCCAGTAGCTGTGAATTTTAGAATAATTTTACTAACGTGCAGAGATAGCAATGGCCATTTTGTTAAAATAAACTGAGGGGTAAGTATTCTGTCTTACCTCACAGGGATATACACTTTGCCGAGCCAAATAATTTGCCAGCTTTAATTTTCATGATTCTCAGAATCTCACGTGCCACACGATACATAAAATTATCCAAGACTTGTGAAATTTTAACGGGCCCAGAAGACTTTTTTGATAAAAAGAGGGCATAAAGGCCCAATAAAGGAAAGAAGTCTCCCAAACTTCAATGGAGACAAAGATTTTACTAAGAAGGTTCCACATGCTGCTCCTCCTGTCATGCACAGAAGAGAGGTCCTTGCCTCACTTCAATAAAAATGAGGCTCATGCACTGCTTCAGAGGCATCTGGTATTCAGGAAGGTCTTCTGCACAGGTATGGATTTCTTTTTAATCCACTGTGAGATGTGGTAATTAAAAATATAGTTAATCCAGTCACATCAAGTCTCTAATCAGGAGAAAGGGATGAAGCACAAGTGTGCTGATCAGGTCATTTCTTAAGAAGAAGCCACATCCAGCGACATCTGTAGCCAAAGGGACTCAGAAACTGCAGAACCTGCTCATTCTTCCTTTGTGCTGATCATCTAACGAGCTTAAGAGAAACATCAATGATCAGTGGGAAGAAGAGGGTGCTAATTAAACTTCTCTGTTATTTTATGAGAATGCATATTATCTTTAAAAAAGCACTGCCAAGTTGGAGCCTTTGAAGAGTTTAGACTAGAGCAGAGTTAGCTCATTAATGATAGGTCATTAAGGATGGGACACCACTTTGGGCAAAAAACACACTGGAGCATCATCACTGGGAACAAAGAAAAGTTACTTTTTGAAAAGCAGAGAACATATGCTAGACATAAACTGTTTGCTTCAGATACCAGGAAATTAAGGATATAGGCAATGCTATTAAAATGAAAGACTCTGCAGTCTTATTTTTATTGTAATTGTTTAACATTCATAGAGATCAAAGATGGGTCTAAAGCTAAACCCTGAAAAATAATACTCCAAACCTTGGGGATAACACAGATCAACACCACCTTTTCCAGTGAGGAGTTAACCTGCTGCCCAGACGTTTCCAGGGCAAGTTCATGCTGAAACCAGGACAAAAAAATTCATCATGTTGTGTTACTGACACCTTCAGACATAAAACCACAATATGAAGATGCTTTACAAGCAAAGATGATGTCCAAATCACAGGAAAGGTGACACTACCACTAACAAGAAGATAAAAATATCATTACCATCTTAACAACAACCCAGTTTCCTCACACTAAAGCTGTCTTAATTTTTCCACTTTTGTTTTACCTCGTAAGTAAGGCCAGTCAAATTTAAAAAAAAAAATAAAATCACAAATTAAAAAAACAATCACAAATTACCCAAAGAATCACTCGCTACTGAAGGAATACTTTAAATTTGAGGTAGGTTCACTGTTTTCCACATGCAAAAATAATGCTGAATATCTCCTCTAAATTAAATAATAATAATAATAATAATAATAATAATAATAATAATAATAATAATAATAATAATAATAATAATAATAATAATAATAATAATAATAATTTAAGGAATCCCTTCAGTTTAATGATGAACTCAAAACACAGACTTTCATACCTGCCAGTTTTCTCTTCCACTCTTCCCTGTTACCGTCATTTCTGTTTTCCTGAGGTTGATATTGAGTCTCAGACAGGTCTGTGGAACTTCAGGGGCCTAGTAGGAGTGAATTAGGCCAAGATACTGAGAGAAAAAATAATAAATTCTTAAGAATGGTAAGAATTTTTTATTGAGCCCAGTCTAAGGTTTTTGTCTGAGGTATTGCCTCTCTGACTTTCGTATGAGTCACTGCAAGAGCTTCACAAAGGGCCTGGATAGAAAGTTTTTTGGGTGACCATACTCTTTTGCCTCTTAATCTCACTCCACTATGGCTAGGCCACTGCTAAGAAATCCCCTTAGAATTTAGAGTATGAACAGATCAACGTACAGGACAATATTCCTTTTTTAGTCCAGTTACCATTTCTCTTCGCATATTCCCTTGTAAATACACCTCGACTCCTGTAATGGTGTATTTTAAAAATGTAATTTTTAAAACCCTAACTTCATTAATATGAAACCTGTAGAAAAGGCAAGGACTATCAACAGCTGTATCTGACAAAAATCAGTTTTAAATTCCTGTCTTACTAGCTGAAAGACACAGTTTCTGAGGTTCTGAATGAAACAGCCCTTTCTGTAATTGTCTAAATTCTAGCACAATATTGTGCCTGGTCGAGCCCATATTCCCAGAGTTTTAACCAGCAAATTTACAACATTTTACATTGCAGATACGGAGGAAAATAGTAAGTGACTGAAGCTGAGTTGCTTTGTGAAAGTATGCAAGCACTTGCTAGTCCTTCTACGTAGCGCCTACTTGTTGTTATACCTAAATGTGGTTTTTTTTAAATGATTCTGAGTAATACAATCATAAAGACTGTGAAAATCAGGTCTGCATTTTAGGTGAGAGGCCTAAGTCTGAAGCACCTCAAAAATATTACATGAACAATGAAAGTCATATGAAATAATGAAATAAAAGTCATTTCCACTGTTGTACAGAATGAACTAATGAGACTACTTCAAGTATGCTACAGTGGCTGGCATATAGAAAGCAGATATTTGTGCTGTGCATGTGCTTGAGAGCGAGTGTTCATCTGCAGGAAAAGAAAAAAACCACAAATCCAAAAACTTGTTAAAACTGTAATCCTCACCTTTTTATTTATAAAAGGTACAGCAAAACAGAAATTCATTCAATGCACACAGGAGGTTGTTCCTTGGTGGGAACTACATCTTATTTAGCAGGTGCCATTGTGTGTTCATCAGTATTGCAATCAAATGGCACTCATAATCATTTCATAATTAATGAAAACCTTCCAATGCCTTGTCTCACTGCAGAGAGTTGAGGTTCAACAATCTGGATTGTGGAGGTAGAGATGATATGGAAAAAGAGGAGTCCTATAAAAGAATACACTCAAAAACATTGAAGGCTTTTTAAATAAAAAGGAAGTCTTTAAAAACTCTAAAATATTTGCAGCAAACCTGTCCCTCCTCGGGTCTTCAATAGACAGAAAATGCAAGTCACATCTCTCAGCCAGCTGTGAGAAAAGGGACAGCTCAGATTTCTCTTTTCACTTTAACTGTGCCCTTAAATCCCACTTCTGGCATCTCCAGTCACTGCTCCACCTGCCATTCAAATCCACACAGGCAGTGGGAAGCACAGTCACTCCCTGAAGACTCTGGTGTGAGCTACCCACGTCTCCTCAGTCTAATCCAGGCTGGTCATTCATGTGCTGCACACAGAGTGATGATTTTCAGATTTAGCTCTGCTTTAATTCAGAGGGGGAATCAAACAAGTCATTAGACCATGCCGGTTCCACGTCAAAGTCTTCCAAAATCTTCTTTTGATTTGATTATTTTCAAAAATCTTGGTTCATGCTTGCAGGGAACTGAGACCTTCGACAAGATTAATTCCTCAGCTGTCTTCCAGTGCTGCAATGCTTCTACCACGTTTTCAGAGGTTAACACTTTATCCTCAGAGACACCAGTAAGCATTATCAACCATATTTTTCCAAGAAGGAAATACAGATACAGAGCAGTGCCACTGTTGTCCCAGATGATAACTCAGACCACCACGGTGTGGGCTGTGCCAACTCCAGCAATCTCCAGGCTTACAGCGATTCCTTGCTCAGAATTTAAAACATGAACTAGTACCAGACAAGCTTTCACTATATATATATATGTAAGACACAACAAGACACTGAGCCTTTCTTCTAATTTAAACACAATTTAGTCTTCCCTACCCCAATCAGCTTCCCCTCCCTACTATGTTTGTATGTAGTATCATCACATCTCTGCAGCAAGATAGTTACAGACAAAACACCAGAGGAGGTGATCGTGATTTTAAAAGAAAAATTTACGTAAACAAAAACAGATTTCCTTTTTTTTGGTACTGGCTCACACACACACACACACACACACACACACACAAAATACCTTTAAATATTAAAAAAGCCTCTGTCATTTTCCTACTCTCCTTGATCCCGCTGCCAAGTTACGAGGATTCACTTATACCAACAGTGCCAGTTGCAGCAGAACACTGTGAGGATGAGGAAGAGATTGAAACAGAATGCCCACACAATGCATACTGAACACACTTGGACATATCCCCAATTTTTTTAGTCAACACTTACACAGGAAACAACCTGGGGGAGCATATCCTCTGTGCCTCATATGTTCTGCATCACCTACACAGAGGCAAATGCAGAGGTGAAAACAGCCTGAACCACCAGGACTTTTCATCTCTCCACTGACAGTAAGGATTGCACGTTGGCATAAGGCAATGGTGAATCAGGCTTCGTGGTCTTTTACAGTGAGTTTTGCCTCAGGAGGCTGCTGGCAGACACAAGAACTCACAGGTCTTGCTGAGTACAAGCAGCACCCAAAAATACAGGTAAACACAGAAATTCACAACTTGAGATTTGCTCATAGCATTCCTTCCTATAAATCGGCTTGTGGTGTAAAAAAAAAAAAAAAAAAAAAAACAACCCTAAAATTAAACTAGTCTGTATGTAAAAAACATGGTGTGCAAGAGTACTTCTGAGCCAACGAGTCGCGTGCTTGTCTGCGACAGTTGAGGTAGATTTCCTTGTTCCAAATGTGTTCCATCACGATTTAAGTTCTCAGCAATGCTAAACACACTTGCATCTTCGGTCCCCTTCAAGGCAGGCGCTTTGGCTAAGCCTTTGAGGCAGGAAGTGCATTCTCTTCATCCCCAGGTTGTGCAGGCTGGCTGCTTCCTCTCAGTGTCAAAAATGAGTACCTGAGTCCCCCTGCCATGCTGAAGGAAAGGGAATGAACAGCAGCGTCAGAGAAGCCTGATGTTATGGATGCCATTTCACAGGTGTCTACCTTTCCTTCCAGAGGATTAAAGAACACCAGCTACCCTAAATCAGGAGTGCCTCAGAGCTATGTAAGCCCTCTGGGCAGCCAGCTCCAAGCAGGCAGAGATCAATTACGAGTTGCTCACAAGGATTCATACACACAGATGTAACAGCTCATCCCAGCACAAAAAGTAGCAACTCACAAGTCAGAACTTTGTATTCAGTGTGCACAGCTTACTCAGTCAGTGCTCTCACTTCCCACCACCACTCGGTTTTTACCTGGAAGCCTCGCAGCTCAGAACTGCTGCTCTTTCAAAAAGAAAAAAAAAATCAACTCTATCCCACATAGTAAAAACTGCACTGTTTCACTAACACTTCCACAGTTAAGATCCTACCACAGTTCAATTCAATATCTGAAAACAGACAGGATGGAAGGTGTCTAACTGTAACATGCTTTGCCTCCTGAGGGACTGCTTCATCAGGTCAAAACTGCATCACTCAAAATGGGTGATCAGATCAAGCAACCCATAAAACTACAGCTCACTGGGAAATTTCCAGCTCTAACAAATAAAGGCTGTTGAAGTTTCACTCACCAAATGTTTAGGCCTATGAAGTTTAGCATAGAGAATATGTAATCTCCACCAATCAACATTCCGATGTAAGCAATGGATATATTCTGAAAGGAAAAAAAAAAATCATGTATTTATTTCATTCAGGTTTCATCTCCATGAATGTAAGTGATATCAGCTTAATTACTTTTCTAGGGAAATAGATACATTCTGTTACTGACCACCCCAAAATCAGCACTTAAATTCCTTTCATGTGATGTCAGCCTTATGGATAATGTAGCAGTGAAACAGAATAATAAAATCAGCACGCTTTCTAAATGCACTGAGAGTGACTTTCTGGGTTAAGAAACCAAAAAAAGTCAGCTATTTGATATTAGGCAAAATGGAGCTATGTCCACCTTTTGAAATCTACTTCTTTATCTTTGGAAGGCTCCCCTTAAATCCCATTTCTTAAAAGTGAGTTTTGGGTTCTCAAAGGACACTTCAAAGTTACAATAAAATTCCTTTCTTATTACTTTGAAAGGGTCATCTGCTTACTTTGTCAACCAAATGTGCCCTGAAAGCACCGGGCACCAGTTCCAGACAGGCAGAGTTTAAAGTTAAAGATTCTAACTGTCACCCACCCCCTTCAAGTTTTGGAAAAACTGTCTACTAAAAATGGAAAGAAAGGTATAGAACTGTGTGATCATTTTACCAACACCTTGTTGCTTACAAATGTTTTAGCACCTAGCCTGGACAGCAACATCATTCCTACCTGCTGCATCATAAACTGCTTCTCAGCTTAAAGCTGCACAGAGTGTCTCAAGGACTATTTCAGCTCTGAAAATAGAAATTGTGTTGCTCTGACTTAATGGTTGGATGCAGACATATAAAATGTAAAGAACACTTTCAGGGCCTCAGAATGAAAACTACCAGAATAATCTTCCCAGCTTTCAAAAAAAGGGAAAAAAAACCCAACCTGTAGGAAGTGCAGCACCATCCTCCTTCTGCAGATTTTGCTATGCTGGAGGCATTGTTTTCCTTAGTCACCCATGCAAGGGAGGACCGTGAGAACTGTTATTCCTATGCCTCAACTAGTTTGGATTCTGAGAGCCTTTGGCCCATAACTGCATAAGCTTTATCTTTTGCTAAAGCTGTTCCAGCTTTACAGCTCCGTGCTGCTCCCCAAAATGGCCTTCAGAAAGGTGCCTGGGCAGTCAGAGGTGTTCCCAGTTCAGGCACGTTGGCCTCATCAGCACAAAGGAGGCTGCACTGGTTTTAAATCAAACCGTGTCAAAGAAAACAGACTGTAAAGACACCGAGTTTTCAAGAAACCAATTTTTTTAAAACACGCACGTTGATCAAGTTGACCAGGATTTGTATAAATCAAAATGAAACAGTCCATTCTGCTAGAACACAAATGCTCTCACACAGAGGCTGAGGCGTTAAGTCTGTGTCAGTTCACCCTGATTAACACACAGTAACCTAACAAAGAACAGAAGCAGGCAGTACCTGAAGAACTGTTGTTAAATACACATTTTTTAATTTAAGTGGTTTGAGTTATTCTTTAAGAAAACAAAATCTAAACTGCTTTCTAGAGCATACGTCAGCTTCAGTGGAAGAGAACAAGGCCACTCTGTGGTGTGACCCTGTTTGGCACAAGCAGTGTCTCACTGTTAGCCCTCATTTTGATCTTTCCATCTCAAAGCCTAATTAGGATCACTGCTGAGCCAATGCTCCTCCCTGTCTATTTGAGCATTCTTGCTCCCCTCCTCTGCTCCATAACTCACCTTGATGGCACCAACTACTGTCGTCGTGAGTGCAGAATTGTAATGACTGCAGAGCACAGTAGAATACATCAAGAGAAACCTAAATAACAGACAAAATTGTGTAAGTTCTTCCCAGGGAGCTCAGAAGTGTAGCATCACTTTAAGATGTTCAACATTTTCTGGATCAGTATTTTTCCGGGATCTTCAATCCCACTTGTTCCAAACCCTAAAAAAAACCCCCACTCTGTGGATCTGTATTTTAAGTTAATGACATAAGGTATCCAGAATATTCAAAATACATGTTAAAATGTGCTGCTTGAGCTCTAGCAGAGCCATCCCTCTTCTCTGTGCTTTTTAAATGTCAGCACTCGAAATTAGTTTGACCCCTTGGCTGTTGACATGTGGAAGGGAATACACGATGCAGCTCATTGTTCTGTTCTTCCTTCGACTCTGCAGTTCCAACAGGAACAGGCTCACTGCTTTTGAGCCTCCCACATTTTCCCCAGCTGCTTCACAGAATAAACACACTCAAACAGTTCCCATACTGAGGGATAACTGCAAAACATTTAAACAGAGGAGGGAGTACAGAAATTACAAAGCTAAATATCACGTTGTTAATCACTGTATTGTCGGGTCAACAGCACTGAAAGTACTGAAACAGTTATTTACAACATTAGAAATACTTAAGAGACACAACAGAAGCCTGGGGGGAAAAAACCATTTTCTTTGAACTCTAACATAACTTATTAGTGAGTCTTACATTTGAGATTTGCAATTGGAAACACTGTCATAAAAACATTTTGCTTGATTCCCCTGTATCCTTACCCCAGAAAGCAGGAAAGAACAAATTGAAAAAGAAATAAGAAATTTGTCCAGTGCTGGAAACGTATTGCCTATTAAAAAAAAAAAAAAAAAAAGAGAGAGAGAATTACATGCTATATAATCAGCTGTAAACACATAAAACATGTTTACTATGAAAATGTGCAATATCACAAATACATTTAATTCATTCTAAAATTACGAATCATTTATACTACTACTGGAAGCAGTTCAATGCATTTAACAGCCCTCATAGTGAGCCAGCTGGTGAAAGAGAAGAGAATACCTGGGACACTCAAAAACAACAGTCTGCATGAGGTGTGGCAGCTGTAATTCCAGAACTAGCTAGAGGAGCAGAAGCAATGTCCTTACCCCACAGACATGGTACTGATGTTTTGACTGGCAAAAGACATGTGCTGTGCACTGTCTGTGATGGAGCAAGGCAATGAGTTCTGCTAGGATAAAAGCTGGCCTGAAAAGCTGAATAACACCTGTGTTATCTACAATAATTTCCTCGCTTTTCATCAGTATTTTTCCATTTTCTCCCTTTCTTCTGTGATTAAATTTCGGTGTGTCACACTGACACTGGCTACCTGCATCATTTAACAGGTCTTTTTTTTGAGTGACCAAGCCACTGCAATGCACAACAGGCAAACTGGGTCCCTCTGATATGTATTTATTCTTTTCAGGTAACTGAGCATTAAGTTGCTTGCCCCAAACCAGCCAGTGGCCACAGCACTCTCTTTATTTTTCCCATGCATTAGTTCTTAAACAAAGCCTCGTATGAGGACCACCACACAAACTCACCTTCTTCTTAAGTGAATAATCACAAGTTCTTACTGTGAAGGGCAAGTCCAAGTCACACTTTTCACATACTAGTCAATAACACAGAGGTGGAATTACCTCTTTAGAAACAAAGAAAAAGCCCACCCATTTCCCAAGTGAAAAAACCCTGAACTAAACGAAGTTATCAGTCTGAGACATGCAATAGCGCTACTCACCTGCTGAAAGTCTCCGGTAGAATAGCTAATAATAACTGTTGGGACCACCATGAAACAAGCATTATAGAACAGGACACCGTATTTTCCCAGCTCCTGTGAAAAATGAAACGTGGTGGTTGAATCTACAAGCCATCTGGGAGCAAAATACCACAATGACTGTGGCAACCTTCCTGACATTATCGTCAGTGAGCAGACAGGACATAATAGATTTTAGTTTAAAACACAGCCTTGTGATCCTTGGTTTCACTGTTTTGTGCTAATTTCGTGGTTAATTTCCACTTCAGTCACTTTGTCTGCACACTCAGCAGGTATTACTGCTCTGTTATACCTTGGACAGTGTCTACACAGCGCCAGCCAGTCAGAAACTTCCCAAAGCACTGGTCCAGAACTGCTTAAGTTTAAGACTCCACATGAGCCTCTGACTGGCCAAGGGATTACTCATTCTACCTACTGCAAATTAACCATGAAAACAGGTGACAGGAAGATGAATGAAGGCCGACTCCTAGATGGAGCTCTACAACTATATCAGTAATTGTAACCTGAAGCAACTTGAGGGATGCCACATATCCTGCTGGTTAACTTGCTTGGCACAAAGGCAGGAGATCAGGAAAACGACAAAGTAGACTTCCCTTCCTCCAGATTCAGCCATGCTACTCTGCAAATCTCTCCAGCCCGTCTCCTGCTTCACAACGAAACTCTGCATTTTGCAGGAAACCGTGAGGCTGCTGAGTGCTGCTCATAAACAAAAATGCAGCCTGGAATCAGTGTGCTGTCTGAGATTATTAAGGTATATATTTGCAGTGTATGCACAGAAGTCAGTAACAAAAACTCTAACCAGCACCTCCAAGACTCCTCTTTGCTATGGCTTGGTACGTTTCACAGCACTGCACTGGAAGAGCAGCCTGCTCAGTGTTGGAATAAAGTAATACATATCAAGGTATCACTTAATGCCTTGGTATACCTGGCTTCGGTGAAGACTTGCTTTTAGATAACCAAAAAATATAAGTTACTGTGTTTATTGACTCAGGTCTTTGTTTTACGTAAATGCCACTTAAAGTGCGTTTCTAGTCAAGAAATCATCTTCCTTATATAAATATATAACAAATTCACAGGTAAGTGATTCCCTTATGGCTTGGATTAACTTTATTTTTAGCCTAAAGCAAGAATGTAAAGTAACTACAAACTCTGCCCAGTAGACTTGAGAGAAACTAAAATATACTGTTTGTTTACCTAAGCCTGGCCAGTGATTCAAACAACAAATTTTCCCAGGCTGTTCCATATTAAAGATTCATATATCAACTGAGAAGTGAAATGAAACTGTTTATGAGTTCATAACTGTAAGTACATAAAATTATGTAACAAGTAACCCGCTGTTATAATACTGTCATAATGTTAAGCTCAGTCTAATCACTCCACAGTTACCTTTGGATCGATTTTCTGCTTTGTGTAAACTCCATTTGCTGCTGTGAAGATATCATTTAGCAGCACAAAGATATAGCCCTCCAGATTGAAAGACAGGTCAGACCTGGGAAAGAAATACTGTATTGTAAATAAGCAAACATGCTGTAAATAAGCCTTGATTACCCAGAGGGACACCGTAAATGAGGGTATGCAAATCCTGAGAACTCCAGCAAGTCACAGGTTTTGCTTCAAGCATTCTCTGTAATCAAAGTAGTTTACATTTCTCCAGTCACAGGATCACCACAAATGAGTCACTGGGGAGCTCCCAGTAGTCAGTGTGAAAGTGGCAGGAAATGTTCCATTTTCATTCAGTGAAAAATTCCACCCATCTTAACCCTGACAACTTGTCCAATTATTACTGAGTATGCTTACCTATTTCTTTTAATACAAAAAGCAGCTATGGAATAAAGTCTGACTGTCTTTTACAGTCAGGCCAGACATATTGTCATCCTTTCTGTTTTGAGTAGTTACCTCATGAATACAGGGTAACTCACTTAACAGGACATGGCTCTATCTGAGTCACATCACATGGAAATTATTTACCCTTGTACACAGCAAAGCCAAGAAAAAAATAAAACCCACAAAAAACCCCCAAACCAAACCAAACCAAACCAACAAACAAACAAACAAAAAACCCACAAAAAACCCCCACCAACCATGACATTTCCAAGTAGATAAAGGAATATTCAAACAGAAAGAAAACACAGGGCAACAGTATATGAGTGCTTTGTGACCTTAATGTCATAATTGAGCTTATTCAAAGTGATTTAAAAATATAGGCAATATCTGACAACCCCCAAAAAAAAAAGTCTTTCTATCCAGAACAGGAACATATTTTTTTCTGAGAACACTAAAATACACTGATACCATGAAATAAAAGCAACATTCCTCACAGATCTTTAACTTGCTTCATTTATGATCCTGCAAACACGGAAAACCTAGAGGCGAAAAAAGAAGCACCCAAATACTTTCAGCAGGAATCAGAATTTCCCCTTTGCATTCCTGCACCTCTCAGTGATGTCAGTAGAGAGATTTTACAAATCAATTTATTCCAGAGTAACTGATCTCAGCCTAGGTCTGCTTGGAACTAAACAAGGGTAAAAAATCCCCTCTGTTTTCCCTCCCCTCATAACATGGATTCATAAAACAGACTGAAGCCTTACCCAGCTGCTATGAAAGCCCCCAGAATGATGGCAAACACGCTGAGTATGATACTCAGTGGGTACCGCTTCCTGCAGGCAGAAATTCAGACAGTTCACATTTGCGTTATTTGAAGAGGACATTAAATGGCAGTCTGCCTGAAAAGCTTCAAAGCGATTAGTAATCACAGAACATTCAACAGGAGGGCAAAGTCTTGATAACCTTACAGAAGCAACGTGATTGACCATGTGCCACGCTGTCAGACCTTGGCCCTGAGAACAGAGACTGAAAAAGCACTGTGAGCTACTAGATAATTGTGGAAGTAAATATTAAAGGTTTAAAGTAACAGCACTGGAATAAACTAATGAAATGAGTATTGGTATTCATAATGGACATATGTCAGTGTCTTGCAGCAATCCAATAAAGGAAAATCACTGCATGTCTGTCACATTGTTTTTCGTATCGCCTTTCCTGGGGAAGTTGCTGTACAGCACATTATCTGGACTGTTTTTGAAATAGATACTTATTTTGAAGTCAAACTGAAACTTTGTACTTGAAAGGGAAAGCACAGAGCTTATGATATTCTCCACTACCACAGCACTGCCACAAAGCAGTTGAAAAACATGATGTAAAACTGGGTTTTTTTTTTCATATCTACATTATTTGCAAATGTCTTAAGCACTCATTTTTTGCACCATATGTAATATGTCTCGCAGACATCTCCCCAGTCCTTAGTCTGTCAGGCTCACCTGAGAGAGAAGATCCACCAAAACAAAACGTACAGTACTCTTGGAAAAAATGCTTTTGGAGAAATCCTGTGTGTCCAAGGAGCCCAGGTGTGGGCCACTGTCCCAGAATAAAGCTGTGTGCAGGCTCTAGACATTTAACTCTTTGGTCATAATGACTCTCAGCAGTAACAAGCCACACCTTGACTGTCTTTCAAAGCCTGACAGACACCTGCACAGACTCTCTGAAGTCCTTAATAAATATGATTCACACTGATCAACTGCTGCTTCAGCCAGATGGAGATGACAGTCTACTTGGGGGCTTTCTGGACACCTTTTCCCTTGACCATCACTCTCTTGTTGCCTGGGTTCAGCTTCCAGAAGGTTGTTTTTCCCCTTGTGGCTTCATCTTAACCCACCATCAGCTACGTGGATAGAGCCACCAAGCTCTAGACAAAATAAGATGTATTTGTACTATCATCACTGTTCTGAGACACAAGGACTTGTCTGTTTGAAGCAGTCTGCAGCTTAGGGGCCATCCAGACGAGGCACAAACACAACCACCACAAGTGTCTGAGTTGTGTCTGCTTACCTGAATCCTGTGCAACAGCCAAAGAGAGTGAGATGTGCTAATGAAAGCAAGCTTTTTTTCTTTTATTGCATTTGCTAAAATCTATGTATCTGTGTCTTCAAAAAAAGTAACATAAACCCACTTTCTTCCCTTTTCTCTATTTGTCAGTAAAAATCACTCATTCAATATTCTGATGAGCTGTCACAAGTAATCCATTTGATATGATGTAAAATAAAGGTGTCTTAAATGAAAACAAAACAAAACAAAACAAAACAAAAAGGATCACCCAAGTATGATGATTTCCAGCAGTAAAGTAAGTGGAATGGTAAACTTCCTGAGCACTGTAAACATCGGCAAACTGTCAAAAAAAACAAAATAAAAATCCAAGCATAATGTCAGATTAACAACATTCTTATGTTCTAATTCTTATTTTACTAAACAGAGGATGGAACCATTAGTCCAGCAGTACAAACCCAAACCAAATATCCAGTCACTTAGCATCAGTCTGACATTAGACACAGATTAGATAACCAAGTCATTGAAAAATAACAACTTTGATAATGTGTAAGCCAGGGCAACTGGCTACCTTCTAAAGGGGCCTCTGCAATAGTGAAATGGAATTTAATAGGTATTTTCTACTTAGCATAACCCCATGAAGTATTTTTTTCTGCAAAATTCACGGGCAGGGTTAAGTAAAAATTATTCCTGTTATAAACTTAGAGGACAGGCAATAAACCTGTCTCTGAAAACATGTAACAGAAATAAAATAAAAAGAAAACATGCTTAGCAAACAAGATGTACCTTTAAAAAAGTAAAACAAATCCATGACAAAAAAAAAAAATCAGAGCAAGTACAACAAACACAAAAGGTGGGACCAGCTGCAACTACCAAACTGCCACTTTTGAGCAACATATTGTTGATCTTCATGAAGTAATGCAGTTGGAGAACTTTTTGATTGAGAAAACACTTGCATCTGGCTCTGGAAATCTGACAGCAAGACCATATGGGCCAATTAATCCTCTGCTTAGGATAGCTAATACCAACTGCATTAATAAACGACACAAATCCTTACACAGAGTTTAATCAGTTTACATCAGATATTTTTCAGTTATGCACTGGATCGTCTGCACCTTCCAGACAGCCCAAACAAGCTGGAGAATTCCACAACATAAACAAATGTCACATATTGTAACACAGTGCACTGTAACAAAAAGTTAATGGTGGAAACACTGCAGCCATTTTTACTCTTCTGTTACAAAAATTAACTATGAATAGCAAATCTAAGGGAGGTGTATCAGCCATGGGAGAGGGAGATAGCGCACTTATGTTTAGAACACCACACTAAACATTTAAAATTACAGCCAGGGGAAAGGGAAAGAAACACCCACAAATCAAACTTTTAGAGGATTGAAACTACTCTCATATTGCCAATGGCTGAAGCGCTATTAGTGGCAGTGCTCCCTAAATCCTTATGTCTGCCTGAGCAGTCACTTCAGTGGAACAACTTCTGAATGCATAAAAAATCAAGTTGCAGAATCAGGCATCTAGGGTTCATAGATAGAGAAAATTAATCCCCTAATTACATAGGGAATTAATAAGCAGAAATGTAAACAATAAAAAGAAATAAAAAGAAATGTAAACAAGTTAAGAGGAATACATGGGGGACCTTGTTGCTGTCTACAGCTACCTACAAGGAGGTTGTAGTGAGGTGGGGGCTGGTCTCTGCTACTGTGCCTGCAGTGAGAGCACAAGTGGAAATGTCCTTAAACTGAGAGAGGGGAGTTACAGATTAGATATTAGAACAGATTTTTTTTTTTACTGTTAGGGTGGTCAGGCATTGAAATGGATCATCCCTGGAGGTGCTCAAGAGGCATCTGGATCTGGCTCTGGGTGATATGGTTTAGTGGTTTAGGGCTTACAGTGGTAGGGCTGGATCGATGGTTGGACTTCATGATCTTAAAGATCTCTTGCAGCCTTGACAATTCTATGATTCTATGGTTCTATTTTCTTTCCCAGCATCTCTCTCAAAATTAGGAAATGCAATAAACCTACAAAATTCCCTGTTTTGGTTTAGCTTGCAACCAAATCCCTAGAAGGCTGCAATAACACATAAAAACCCACCACAAGGGTAGTGCTGTATCCTCTGGTCCTTACGCAGCCAGCATGCTTCTGCATTCCTCTTCCACAGGAGATGTGGTCATTCAATCTATTATAGCATGCTGTCTACATGACTTGCACCTTTTTAGCACCAGCATGGAAGCAACTCTCAGGATCCACGCTTACAGGCACAGAGGAGTCCGGGTGCCCTTCAGCACTGCCCCCCAACAACCTCCTTTTGGGGCTCAGCAGGGCTCTACGACCACCCCACCACCCACCAGCTGTTCCATCTCTTGGTGATTCCTACACAACTTCTGCAAATCTTTACCTTATGCTTCTTCCTTCAGAAACACCTTAAGAGTTTCCCAACTCTCTGGTTAGGGTGCCCATGAAAAGCTGGACACTAGGGTGTGAGGGGAAAGTGGAAGCTCTTTCATGGTCACACGGAAGAGCTGCGATTTTATAGCAGTACAGGCCTGGCTAAGCTCCTTTTAAGAGAAGCAGACAGCTTGTGAACAGGCCAAATGATTGGGTAAGAACTTCCTAACAGCTTATGGGGTTTAGACAGACAGACAGGCCCTACATGCATTTAAGGCCCTACCCAATGCTCTTCTTTAGTGCTGATTTTTTCACCTCACAAGAGGAAAGGGTAAAATCCAAACAGTCCACTTATAACTTCCACTTACTGTACCTGAGTTTGCTGGTACTTGACAATCCACTTATGTGGTTTCCAACATAAATCAGAGGCAGAGGAAACAACTGTGATAAAATTAAAAGCACAACTGAGATTATTACGTGTTGAAGCACTGCTGAGAAACTTTACGTGATAGTATTTGGTACCCATATATCAGATGTACTTTTAATAAGAAAGAGGGGGATTTTTTTTAAGGGGGAAAAAAAAAGGTGACTCATCTGCAGCTCACATTTATGTGACCATTCACAACCACTTATTTATTAAAAGACTTGCAGTCTACCTGAGACTTAGACTCCATTTAGAGTAAATGTTCATCAGGTTTATTTTAATTACTATAATCCCCAGATTAATACCCATTCCAACATTTAATTTTAGGTATAAATACTAATAACAGTAGCTAAATAAGCAAGTGAACAGGTGGCATGGAACAATTATAAACTGTAAGTATGTTGGGCTTCTCTATAGGCTCCACATATATCAGTATGCCTGGAAGTTACAACATTTTAGATCTACCCAACAAATCATGTTATGCAAGATATTAGAGAGGAAAGATAAGTATTTAGAGGTAAATTAAACTTTACCCATCCCAGCTTCTAACATAAAGAGACAGAAACATGTGATCTGTAACACAACACAGAGAAAAAATAACAGAATTTCAAGGCCTTAAGAAAATGTACAAGAAGCCAGGGATCTCCACACAATAATCAGCTGCAAATCAAAGCTGTTCATTTTCCCCTTACAGAAAAATTGCAGTATCAGAGGAGTGGGGTGAGGCTGGAATTTGCAGAAGATAAAAACCAACTGAAGCAATCAGTGGGGACAAAGGTGGTGTGTACAGGGAGTCCCATTCACTGTCAGTCAGGTGGAGCCGGAATGGCAGGGAGACAAAACACACCTCTGCCCTAATGACTGCTGCTGTTCCTACACGTGCTTTAGGAGACAAAACATGGTCTGCTAGGAAAGCACACAGAGAAGTGGGGGCTGCATCTTATCTACGTCAAAAATTCTGCATTTCTTTTACAGCCAGGAGAAATGTGAAGTAAAAGTTAACTACAGCTAACTGAAGTTAACTTCTAAGTGAAAGTAACAGTAAAAGTTAGGACTATAAAGACAGCAGGAGCATAAGTAACAATAAATATTCAACTTGTCAACATAAGTTTGCGAAAATTTTATAAAGCACTAGCTCTTCTGCAGACTTTTTTGGGAACATTTTGGTTTATTTCATTTATAGGCTGAAAACAGAGTGGACGTTACATTATCTGTCCTCTGAAATTCATCCATTATAAAGACAGAATGACAACATCCAGCACAACGCCAGAGACAAGTAAATCATATACTTAAAAAGGGTCGAGAACTCCAAAGTTTCATAGCTAAAGTAAGCATTTCACTACTTTAAAACTACATCTGAAAGCACTGAAGACATAAACCATTTCAGGAGTGAAAAGTAATGGTTATCTTAGTGTCAAAGCAGAAGTTGTCAGAAGGACGAAGAGCTGGCCTAAGGGTTTTTTTTAAAAAGTAAAGAAATAAGCAATGAGCAATCCTGCTGATTCACTGTGACTAGTCAAATCCAGCACTACAAGCAGTAGGCAATATGGGTGCTACAGTGCTGACTGCTCCCAGTCTATCCAGGGAAGTCTTCCAAAGGACAGATATTATTAGGATAAAGAAAATGGGTGCTGTACTGTGCTAATGCCTTTGCCCCGACATTAAGGTGAAGGCAAGAGCAGAGAGGGAGCACAGTGGGACCGGGGGAGGTGGAGGGAAAAAACTCCCCCAGGTCTCAGTTAGTTGTTTGTATGCAGAACTCAAAGCTATCCACTGGGAAACCTCCTTCTTTCTTATTCTGGAATAAAGCAGGATTGTCCATTTTATGATTGACACCGCAGATTTTCCTCCAAGACTTTCACATGTAGAAATGCCAGTGATTTCAACGTGCATTAAGAATGAGCAAGTCTGCAAGATGTTCACAGAAAACCTCCCACTGATTAGACAAGATTCTGCAATGAAGATGCTGGCCTGAAGAGGTACAATATCTGAGCCCTGCAGCAGAGCTGGAAACCATCTCTGTGCCTCTGAGCAAACCCCAACCAACACCATGCAACAAGACCTAAATACAGGGGCTAATGCATCGGAGAAAAACCCCAGCAACATTGCATACTGATGCAAAAATCTGCAAGGATCACTGCTGCAGTCATTTCACATCCTAGTCCCCAAACTGAGGTGACAGGAGAGACTCTCATATTTGCTCTGTCCTGCTTCTTTAGACCACGTACACTGAGGGTTTGTCCAGTGCAGCTAGCTGCTACCCACAGTACTTTCAGTGGGCATTTTTTATCACACTGTTTCATCACACACTCCATTCAGATTCCCAAGCAGCTCTTCTCCCTTCATGCTGTGTTCAAAAGTCTGTCACAAACTCTTATCTCCCACTGATCCCACAGAGAGGTGCCTACAGGCAGAAAAACACTTCAGGAATATGAAGTTCATCCAGCACCCTTTCCCATCTACTCCATAACAAAATGGCACCAGATTTCTCTGCAAACAGAGCTTATCTCTACAGCCCAAGCACTCAAGAATATTGCAAAGAATTTAAAATTATCAAATCCAATATTAAATGGAAAAAAAAACAAACCACAAATAATCCCACTTGACAAAGAAATGTAATTTTTTTTTTGGTCTGCATGAGAAAGAATGCCACTATAAGAAATAATTCCTTCCTATTAATATCAGGACATAAGTAATTCTTACCTTCACAGGTATACTTTTGTCAAAATCAGGGAAGTGAACAATATTATTTAGTTTTGACACATACAAGATAAGTATAGTGGCTGCCATCTAAACAAAAACAAAAAAGAAGTCATGTAAGAGCAGAATTGTAATGTACACATGAAAGAACTGCTTCAAGGATAAAAATCTTTACATGCAATTAACAAACGCTACTTATTGTGTATTTCTCTCAAAGAACAACACAGCTTGCAATTAAAAAACTGAAATAACTTTATTTTTATCAATTTTGCCAGCTATTTATCTAAAAGTAAAATATACACATGCACTTTCCTGTCTGAGTAAAGCTAGCGGCACTCTGTGAAACAACATATCTGAGAGGGAGCTGAATAAATAAAATAGGGCACAATCCAGGATTAACCACGAGATTTTTACTCAAAGAGTTGTTTAGTCTGCAAAACCACTCCCAAAGCTTTTTTTTTTTTTTTTGGTAATGCAAGACAGTGATAGTGCATTGATCAGTCTGTAGATAATATCAGGAAGAAATAATAAGGATACAGACAGAATGAAGAAGAATATCTTAGCAATCACACGTGACATCACAAGTGTTGATGCTGTCCCCAGGGAGTCAAAAAAAAGGTAAAATTTTCCTTATACAAAAGTACACTAGTTGACCATCTAGAGCATGCAGTGGAGTCATGTTCTGCAGACTAAAGCATTATACTATACTATATACAAAGTGTTCAGGGAAATCTTGGAGGGATCAGTCAACAAAAAAAAAAAAATGGAAACGCCACAAAGTCTTAGGTTCTGCAATGAAACAAAGCCATAGCGTCACATGAATTATTGCTGCATTTTCTAGTCTTCCACTGAAACACGATCTGTGGTTCCTTGAGCAGACTGGATGTGTAAAACTCTCCCTCCCCACTTCACAAAGACTTTACGAGACATTCTACTGTCTCCAGCACCAAACAGCAGAGATGTCAGGCTTGTAGTACCCTGTTTTACCCTCCTCCTCACTACCCCCTGGCATGCAACCTTGGCAGAAAGCAAACCCTCTCTAAAATGTGTTTGCCTAAACAGAAAGAACTTGCTTCAAGGCTCCACCTTTCCAAGTGATCCTTCTGCAGTCACACATTCTTCTCTACGGACCACGCCTGAACTTTGGTTTTATTACGATGCCAACTGACAACAAAAGTAATAAAAAACATTTCTGCTGCAGTACTGAGACTTGCCCACAGGCAAGTAAAACAACAGCGAATCAAAATTTCATGCTGGTGCTGTTGGAGAAAACTGCTAGGGAATGGGGGAGGTATTTATGAGGAAATACATGGTTTTGCTACAAAGAGGGGCAGTATCTCCCCATATAATCCACAAATGCTCAAGGGCTCTCACAGGATATATGCACTTTCTAGAACAAACCTAGACGGTTTTGAAGGTCTGATCTCTCAATTACTGAACTTTGCAAGGGGAAATAAATGGCATTTCCAGTTTTTTTATGTAAGTCTTTTCAGGCAATAATTTTGACTTGAACTTACAACTTCCCTGATCTCCATAAAGCAAATTACAGTTCCTTATAGTCTATCTAATGCAGAAGACAAGCAGTTCAGTATAACTGGGATTTTGACCTCTAAAATCTACCTCTATTACCATTAATTTAGCTTACAAAATAATGAATACTTAAAAGTATACTTTACTTGTGAACATACCTGTCCAATTCCAAGAAACACTGGTGACGGGAAGCTGAAAAACATTAACAGATATTTAGTACTGGGAAACGGAAAAAAAATTAATTAGGAAAAAAAAAAAAAAGTTTAAATTTAATACCAAAGTCAGCAACTGACAGAATGAGCGGCCTGTGTTTCAGGAGAGCTCAGGACTACACTTATTGGAGTCCTAATATTTTATTTATGCAGCAAAACACAATCCAAATAATACTGGAAATGCACAGGTCACCAGTTCTGAACTGCTAATAGTTTGGGGGATGTTTGTAACTACCATAACGCTTCAGTTAGCTTCAGCTGAAACCATGGATAGAGCCACAAAACGGCTTGGATTGGAAGGGGCCGTAAGGATCTCCTCGTTCCAACTCCCTGCCATTAGCAGGGACACCTTCCACTACTCCAGGGTGCCCAGAGCCTCATCCAGCCCGGTCCTGAACAGCTCCAGGGATGGGGAGTCCACAACCTCTCTGGACAACCTGTTCTAGTGAAGAATTCACAGTAAAGGTTTTCTTCCTATTTTCAATATAAACCTGCCCTCTTTCAGCTTAAGGCCATTTTTCCTACCACTACATGCCTTTGTGAAAGGTCCTTCTCCAGCTCTCTTGCAGCCTCCTTGAGGTACTGGAAGGCCACAATAAGGTCTCAGAATCTTCTCTCCTCCAGGCTGAACAGCCGCAACTCCCTCAGCCTGTCCTCACAGCACAGGTGCTCCAGCCCTGTGACAAGCTTAGTGGCCCTCCTCTGGACTCATTCCAACAGGTCAGTGCCTTTCTTGGTTGGGGGTCCAAGACCTGGACACAGCCCTCTCTCTGGGTGGGGTCTCATCAGAGCAGAGGGGGAGAATCCCCTCCCTCGACCTGCTGCTCACACCCCTTTTGATGCACCCCAGGATGTGGATGGCCTGCTGGGCTGCAAGCACACACTGCCAGCTCTTATTAAGCTTTTCATTCATAAACTGCAAGTCTTTCTCCCCAGGGCTAGTGTGAATCCATTCTCCTCCCAGTCTGAATGTTTGCTCGGGATAGCCTCAACCCGGGGGCACAACCTTGCACTTGGCCTGGCTGAACTTCATGGGGATCACACAGGCCCACCTCTCAAGCCTGTCAGGGTCCCTCTGGTGTCATCCCTTTCCTCCAGTGTCTCGCTACACAAATTTGCTGGGGGTGCACTTGATCCAGTCCAAGCATCTGTCCCCGAGGACAACCCTCATCACTGGTCTCCACTTGGACACTGAACTGCTGACTGCAGCTCTTTGGCTGTGACCATCCAGCCAATTCCTTATCCACTCAGTGGTCCATCCCTCAAATCCACGTCTCTCCAAGAGACTAGGATGTGATGCGGTCAAATGCTTCGCACAAGTCCAGGTACATGATGTCTGTTGCCCTTCCCTCATCCACCACTGCTGTAATCCTGCTGCAGAAAGCCACCAAATTTGTCAGGGCACGATTTCCCTTCGTGCAGCCACGTTGGCTGCCACCAGTCACCTCCTTATTTTCCATGTCCCTTAGCACAGTTTCCAGGAGGATCTGCTCTGTAATCTTGCCAAGCACTGAGGTGAGACAGACCAGCCTGCACTTCCCTGGACACAAGTCTCTTCATTCCAGGGAACTAATTACTAGTTATATTAATACTACTAATTAGTATCCATACCACAGGTCCCTGGATATCCCTGGATTCAGATACTCAAAACTTAGGAAGGCAGAAACTTCAGCAGAATACCTGAAAACAAAAATGGTTCTGAGTCCTGACACAGAGAAGCAGCCAGAAGCAGAAAGAGATTCAGGAAAATGGAGGTTTCATGCAAAAAAAAAAAAAAAAAAAAAAAAAAAAAAAAAAAAAAAAAAAAAAAAAAAAAAAAAAAAAAAAAAAAAAAAAAAAAAAAAAAAAAAAAAAAAAAAAAGGCAGAAGAAACACCAGGACTTCCATTTATAATCATGTGACACCTGAACTGTATTTTGTTTAGCACTTACAGTCAGTCCATATAGAGATGGAGACTTCACTCACCTGTACTACACAGATTCCTCCAGACATCTGTGGTTTGTGTAGCCCTAAACATTCCCAGCATTGCTGCAAGCTCTTTGCCCATAACTTAGATGGACGTATTGCCCTCGATTATCTGCCATGGATGTGCTAAATGCGTGCCAGGGACTTACAGGGAGCTCCAGTTTTGCACGGCAGAAGCAGCAGCCACTATAAACCAAAACCTCAACTCGCCCCGTGCGTGTGTCATTTCTGAGAGATGTTCCATACAGTTCCTACGCGTTCCAACAGCAGCGAGCGCCAGAAAATAGCAGCCACTCTGGCTCTTTAACTTTCCTTTTTCCTTTTTTTTTTTTTTTTTTTTGGTTCTGATTTTGGCTCACAATGAGCTGTCCCCTCGCAGGGTGTCCGGGCCGGGGTCCCCGCGGAGCATCCGCGGAAGGCACGGCCCTGCCCCGAGGGCAGGGCCGTGCCTTCCGCGGATGCTCCGCGGGGACCCCGGCCCGGCTGGGGATCGCTGCCCCCGGGTCAGACACCCCCCCGGGCTCACCTGTAGGCGCTCAGCAGCGCCTTGTTGACCAGCACGATGAGGAAGGAGCACGCCCCGTAAAACAGCGCCGAGAGCGCCCTGGGCAGCGCCGGGGCCGCGCCCGCCGCCTCCCCCGCGGCCTGCCCGGCGCTCATGGCGCTGAGAGAGAGAGACAGAGAGAAAGAGAGAGAAAGAGACACTGCCCCGCTCCGGCTGCCGCTCCTCCTCCGCCTGCCCCGGCCCGGCCCCGAGCGCCGGCTGCCGCTCCTCCTCCTCCGCCTGCCCCGGTGGCAGCGGGGCCCGGCCGGCCGTGTGTGGGGAGCGGCTCCGGGCCCCGCCCGAAGAGGCGCTGCTGCCGCCCCGGTGTGGCTTTAGGGAGGCTCAAGAGCCTTGAGGGGGTCAAGCTTTTGGGGGGAAAACCCGGCTCTGCGGGGCCCGGGTGAAGAAGGGGCCGCCCCCCCCGCCTCAGCAGGTCCCGGGGCTTCATCGCCAAACCCCGGGCCCGCCGCCGAGCCCCGGCCGGTGTTAGGATTGTCCCGGTGGGAACGGGCGGCATCCCTCCGGGCGAGCCCCCGAGGGAGGGCCGAGCCCCGAGGGCGGCAGGGGCAGGGGATGGGGACAGGCGGCAGGGACGGGGGACAGGGACAGGCGGCAGGGGACAGGGGACAGGCGGCAGGGACGGGGGACAGGGACAGGCGGCAGGGGACGGGGACAGGCAGCAGGGACAGGAGGCAGGGGACAGGGAAAGGGACAGG